TAGTGTGAAATGCAGGTGTGTGTGTGTGTGTGAATATCACAGAATAGATTTCTAAGACAATTAGTTCCCGTGCAATAAGAAAACGTAATTTGTCTGAATCGTATGACAAGTCCGTGTGTGATCAGATTGTTCGAAATGTGTTGCGCAAATACATTACAGAATAGATTCTTCAGTCGCAAAACAAAAACAAAAAAATGAATTTTTCACCTGGATTACCCCCATCTTTGTTTTATTTGTTTTTTTCCTAGATAGTGCATCTCACTTAGAAACACCATAGTTAATTAAGTGTGAATATATATAATTACCATTGTATGTCTAAGCTATGAAGGGTATATTCTTCCCTCTCAAGCTTCATAAGCCCAATCGTCAAATCAAAGTTTTTTCTCTGAATCAGAAAAAGTAAATCATCTTAGAGGGTGTGCATTTCTATAAAAGCTGATTTTGAATGCATATTTTTTTTAATCATTATGCTCGAAAGAGCAAACTGAGTGGGGGTACATTTACTTTATTGTATGATTTTCAATATGGAGCCAACGAAGTGCACAGACAGCTGTTGATCAAAGTCTGTACTGGCCTGTTGAAAATGCTTTTCGTGACACATGCGCAGCCCAAGTTTTTGATCCGTATAGAAGAATCGACTTGACACTGGTGTTGGATAGAATCCGTACCTTGTTCCTTATGTTGAATGGAGAAGATTTCCGAATTTGTTTCAGGTTGATGAAGGTGTATCTTGCCATTCCGATTCTGGCTGGTTTGCTGGCTGTCTTTGACCTCCTCATCCGTTATGTCCACCAGCCTGTGGTTGTAACGATGCTGAGTGCCTAGTTAAGTGAGGATAGGAAGTAACCTCTGTCAAATCTCTTCCGTGTTGATGGTGACTGGTGCTGGTTGGTGTTATTGTTGCTGTTAGTGGTGGTCGGTTATCTTCATCATCTTTGTTTTCTTTTCGTTCAGCTGGAGTCCTGTCTTCTCTGCCTGTCTCTTCAGCCATTTTGTCGGTTTTCGCCTGCAAGTCTTCGAGTTTATGTGTGTGTGACATTAGACATATATCATCTGCGGAATCCAGATCATCTAGAGTCTTCTTATCGTTGGTCCAACGTATTCCTGTCTCCTCGTTCGCATGCACAGTCTGACGCATAATCCAGTTCACCACAATTATGAATATCATCAGTGGTGATAATAGGCAGCCAGCCTTGTCTTACTCTTGTATGCACTTCGAACACCTCACTGAGTTTCTGGTTGTGGATCGCCTGACACGTGCCACTGTCATATAGCCAGCTGTTGAATGATATTGATGAAGACTTGGGCGATGCACGCCACAGTGTTGAAGTAGTTTGTAAATTACTTCTCGTTCAACGCTGTTTGGCAAAGGCCTTCTCGAAGTTGATGAAGTTGAGGTAGAAGATTGACTGGTATTCTATGCAAAGCCTGTTTGATGACGATACGTAGAGTTGCAATTTGATTAACACATGATTTAACTTTTCTGAATCCAGCTTGTTCTGATTGGTGGGCGGATTTCTGTATCCAGTGCACCTTTAATTCTTTCCTGTCCTTAGACGATCTGCATCTCTATAAAAAGCTGATTTTGAATACATATTTATTCTTAATCATTATGTTTGAAAGAGCAAACTGAGTGGGATAGGGGATAGGTACACTTACTTCATTCAACGCATGAAAAAAGAAATGGACTGATTTACCTCGTAGTAAGGACCTCTTGTAGTCCACTTAACTCCATGTTAATTATGTTTTTTTTAAAAGTAACAATCAAATCTCTGCTAAATCAACATTTCACAAAACAACACTTTCCCACAATGTATAAACACTAACAAATAATGAATGTGGTCATAATGAAATGAAATGAAATGAAATAACAAGATATCCTTCTTGTTGTCTAATTTATGTAAATAACAGTAATAATAATAATATTCATGATTTTTGATTAGAAAAAACATGGAAAAATATTTTGAAACAAGCATTTTTAAGAAAAAAACAACCAACTGTTTATGCACAAACATGTGTGGACAATGTCCTGAATCAACACTGTGGTGTTTAGGTAACGAAATCAACAACATTCTCTAATCCACTTAAAATATCAGTTGACCAGAACACTTTTGAAATATGGCATAGATAACAAAGTCTTAATTTGAATTTAACAAGAATTGTGTTATTTTTGTGTGTGGCACTATCAACTGTTAAGTCCAGTACATATGAGTATGATGGAGATTTCTACATCATTAACAGTCAAATAGAGGATAGTCTCAGTGAGACTCGTTGTGTTCCGAGAAGAACGTAAGCCAGCGGCAGCACCACAGGCTCTCTACTGGTGACAGTTCACTTGCATCAGTTAGCTGACTGTCAAGCTTTCATTTTTCCTCATGTATGATATGCTACATTTCACTTTCAGATGTCCAACTTCTCACACATTCATTATTCAGACTGCACGGAAAGGTCTTGTAGGCATGAGATTTCACTTGAATGCCTCCTTACTGTGTGTTAAGCCCGTCTCCACTTCCTTCTGTGTGTTTATTATTGAGCAGTCGACTCTTGGCTGATTCGTTACCTGTCTGAGTTCCTTGTTGCCTATTCTGTACTCTTTAGCTGGTGGTTATCTGATTCCTCATTATCGAGTGGTATGAGCAGGTGTCGATCATGTTCTGTGGTCTAGTGATGAATATAGTTTTGTTGACTGGCTGGTGGTTTAATTTCTAAACCATATGGAGGCAATGATTAACTTGTCATTAGTAATAAAAATTTGGATGTTGTTTCTTGTACTAATTGTCGTGGATCTCTGCAGTGATCTTGGAGTAATAAACAGGGGTCTTACCTTCCTGATGCTGATATTGAGTCTATTGAAGTATCTGCCTTCTGTAGCTGTTGTTAGTTGTGATAATGAAATTAAGCTGAGTACTGAGAAGCCTTCTTTAAAATTCTTGTGGACAGCCAGTTGGCCGGCTGGTCATTTAATCTTCAGTATGTACCCAGAGAAGTGGGCAGGTATTGATGAAAGTCTTCACTGGCCTGTTGAAAATCCTTTTCGTGACAGATGCTCAGTCCAAGTTTCTGACCCGTAAAGAAGCACCGACTTGACACTGGTGTTGGATAGAATCCGAATCTTGTTCCTTATGTTGAATGCAGAAGCTTTCCGACTTGGTTTCAGGTTGATGAAGGCGTATTTTGCCTTTCCGATTCTGGTTGGCTGGTTGTGTTTAACATCATTATCAGTGCTGTCCGACTGCCTGTGTTTAAAACGATGCTGGCTGTCTAGATAATTGAGTTCAGGAAGTAACCTCTGTCAAATTTCTCCTGTTGATGGGGATTGGTGCTGAATGCTATTGTTGTTCGTTGGTTATCTTCGTCACCTCTGTGTTCTTTATGTTCACCTAGAATCCTATCTTCGCTGCCTCTGTCTTCAGCCATTTTGTTGGTTTTCGTCTGCCTGCAATTCTTCAAGTTTGTGTGACACTGAACAAAAATCGTCCACGCTCGAAATCCAGATCACCTGGAGTCTTCTCATCAATGACCCACCGTATTGCTGTCTCTTCGCTTCCATGCACAGTCTTCTGCATAATCCAGTTCACCACCATTAAGAATATCATCGGTGATAACAGGCAGCCTTGTCTTCCAGTTAAATAGCATGTTATAAGAAAATGTTCAGACAACTGTTATAATCCTTTCATGAAAATGTAAGTATGACAGTTCTTGAAAATACAGAACATACTACAAGAATGAAAGAAGCACTTTAAACACTCGGTTAGCCTGACTGACTTGTTCCAACACAGAACCTTGCACCCATGTGCACCAGTTCAAGTCACAACATTCTCTTCTTGTAGCACACAAAGTAAGAGAAGAAAGAGAAGAAATGCAGAATAGAGACAATAAACAGAGATACGAAACACAAAGAGTAGTAATATCGAAGAACAATATAATTTTTTTTAGGTATGATAAATCACAAGGAGGGGATGCATCTAACAGCGCCAGCCATCATTGAGAACGACGATTTTGAGCCATATCACGAATTTTCTCTAGCCTTCATTGGTGTTTACCATGATAAGGACCATAACCAGTCAGGAAGTATACACCTTCCTACGTGGCTTAAACTAAGTGTTTTCACTTTACTTTTACTAAAGCAAGAACAACAATTTTTGCAGAATAAAATGGTACTATCCTTTGTTTATTTCGTTGGCTTCTCATCAGCTGCTTGCTTACTGCATAGAGACATTATTAACCTTATGTACGGTAACAATATTAACATAATTACCTACACGGAGAGTTCATTTTTAAACAAATAATCAATCAGTCAGTACATGCATATGATGATAATAATGATAGTAATAAACACTTTTTCACAAATAATAATGATCATACACAATAGAATCTATCGGTATTACGTAATCAGATGAAAGATATACTTAATAATGTCTTTAAGCTGTAAGCAAGCAGCTAATAATAAGCCAACGAAATAAACAATGATGACACCATTTTAATTCAATTTTAGATTTTCTCGTCGATTGATTGGCCCTAAGTGCTTGGTCTCAAGTTGGCATTTCGACTTCTTGTGCAGATACTTCGACAATGTCTAGGCATGTAATTAGAAGTGAATTGGTGGATGGTGACAAGCAGTGGAATCCAGAATGTGCATTTCGTCTTTTTTTGGGACTCCTCATCCGGATGTACCTGCATTCCTTAGTGAGTACATCCAGATGACGAGTCCCAAATAGGACGAAACTTGCTTTATCCTGGATTCCACTGCTAGTCACCATCCACCAATTCACTTCTAATGGTACCATCTTGTATTCTGCGAAAACTGCTGTTCTTGTTTGTTTGTTTTTCAGTTCCATTAAGGGGAATAAATGCATAAACTCTTTCTCTTCTAGTCGTAACCGTTTATTGTTGAATTAATCATATTTTTCTTGTAGAAATTTTACTGTTTTCTTCTCTTCTTTTCATTGTTTTCATTTCTGCATGGGGGTGGGGGGCGTGGCGATTGGTGATCTCTACAGAATATTTGTAATCGTATTAATCTTATTGAGTATAGCCTGGATACCTGTTATACAAGAATTACAAGGCAGTCAATTATTCCTGTATATTCAAGCTGTTTCCGCGTATCTAGCGCCACCTGTTGCTGCAGTCTATTTGTGCGCCATACTGAATAAACGAAGCACAGAAAGGGTAACTGTTTTATTCTGTTCCGTTCTGTTTTTTGTGTTCTATATTTTCGACATTCTAATTTTTTGATGAGTGTTTTTTTTATCTTCTCCTCCTCATAGAATGAGATAAATCATTGGGAGGTAAATAAAAAGAAAGGGAAAAAATAATGATCTTTGAAAAAAAACGAAGTTAGACAGTTTGACATTTCGCAAAGCAAGTTGTATAATGTAAACAGAGAAGCATAAAGTATTCGATAAAACTTGTTCATCTCTATAGTATAAATATTATAACAGACATAATCCATAAGTATATGCAGCTTACTAACCAGTTTTTCTCGGCCAGTCTATTTAACGTGGGATAAAAGCTGAATCCAGGGGATGATTGGAGTAGTAGTGCTAATAGTCACTGAGAGCTGGGCAGTATCATGTGTCTGACCTGTAGGCATCCTAACTGATCATATGATACAACCATTACACTCCTGTAGGCGATCAGTCGTGGACTTCATTAGCTCAGTGGTAATATCTCTCTGTGACTGCAGCTTTGAGTGACGCGCATATTTATGATCCCCGAAATGGGGTGGTGGAGATATGCAGATGATTGGTTGGAAGATTTCATCCATGAGCTGACATCAGTTTGGGACTCTTCATCAGTCAGTATGCACCCACACCACGGGGGTTTCGAACCCACGACCTTCTGGTTACAAGGAGTGATAGCTCGTAGATCATTCATGAACCACTGGGGTTCGACTGATCCAATGGCTAGTCCATGAGTTCTAACTTCTGCCAATTCACGCACGACATAGCGCGACCACTTGGAAATGTCTTCTTCGATGAGTTACTGCCTCAACTTCACTGTGTACACGGAATCTAATCCAGTTCTGAGTTAGAAAATGAACAGGGTGAGTTGACACCATGCTGGACTGTAGAATAAAACGAGAACAAGATGGTGGGTGATTAGATACTTGCATTTATGGGAAAGCAACACACTATAATTCATCTTAACCAGAATCAGTAAAGGTAGGTCCAGTTAAATGCCTTTATAACCGTGCTAAGTGTCTAACTAGTCTATCTGTCTGCCTGTTTTCAACATAGAAATTTGCACCGATGTGCTGTAGTTCGAGTCGCTACACTCCCTCAATGTAGCACACAAAGCAAGAGAAGAAAGTAGAAGAAATGCAAAATAGGCACAATAAACAGAGATTTTAGGCAAAAAGAATAGTAACATCGAAGAACAGTATAGTTTTATTGGGTGTAATAGGTCACAAGGAGTGGATGCATTTGCCCCAGCCATCACTGAGAACGATGAGTTTGAGCCATATCATTGATTGTCTCCAGCCTTCATTGGTTTTTACTGTCCTGAAGACCCCAACCAGTCAAGTAATCTACACCTTCCTGCATGGCTGGCTTAAACTAACTGTTGTGGATTTCATTGATGGATGAGTATCACCAGTGGCTCCTTTCCAACCTTACCCTATGTCAGCTAACATTGTCCGCCAGTCGAGGAACGCGATGACTAGGCATGCGTAACACATGTCGTAGCCATCTCAGTCGATGTAACTTCACAACCCCGTCGATTGATTTTCCTCTTCCGTACCTAGCACTCAACCGATATCTAACCTCGGTATTTCTCACCCTATTACACCACCACCTGACACGATAGATAGAACGCAGACACATATTATCAAAGACAGCTAGCCAGTTTATCATGTTTTTCACTCTCAATGACCGTGTCTGGCTCACAGCCATAAAAGAGGACGGAGCGGACAGCTGAGCAGTACACCCCCCTTTGGTCAATAGCCGGATGCCTAACTAGTAAGCCAAAAGATTTAAATATGGAAATCAAATAAATAAAGGTAATATTACTAGTGAATAACTAACTGCCCACCAGAATTTATTCAGAAATATGTACATCAAGAACCATAGAAAAACTAAGATTAACAATAAAAATAACGAAAATAATATAGAATTCAAAGCCTCTGTAGTACTGCCGTCATAGGCCTTACGTAGAATTCTCAGTGAGGCTGAAACTAGTCAGAGTGGCATTTAAACCAGCCAACCAACCAACCAACTCTCGCACAGATAAATTTTGTCGGCTGAAGGACCCAACAGATTCAATTAAGAAGTATAACATAATTTACCAAATACCATGCGATGACTGTGAAATGTCAATTACATAGGTAAAACTAATAGATCGGGGTCAACTAGATTATTGGAATATGAAAATTTAGCTAGATCTAGAATAATTGACCCTGCTGCATTAAATTAAATAACTTAGAAAAAAGCTTCAGCCATTCCATTGTATTACATTCACATGCATGTAATCATACAGTAGGTTGCGTGGGACAGCGGGCGGGTATTGGTGCAGAGAGTGAGAGACACAGAGAGAGGTTAATCACTGAGTCTTTGTTAATCGATCCAACACCCCACACCTACTGTCGTAATGACGCAACTCCGCGCATACCGGAGATATGGAATGTGGCAACAACAAACAACAAAAGGAATTTGTAAATAAATAAAGAAAAAAAAATATATGTAGAAGACAAATTGTGGAACCATGTGACTAAAATTAATATGATTATAAGCAGCAATAATTTCTGCTCAAAACCTTGTCATCCAGTTGTTAATACTGCAGCATCATCATCACTGTATGATACTAAAAATAAACTTATCTAATATGGAATTTTCAAGTATTGGTTTCGTAGAGATTTTTGGTTTGATTGGATGGAGGACTCTTCAGTAGTACGCACCCACTGGGGTCTGACACCGGTCCCAAATGAGCTAGAACGAAACAGCTGTCCAGTACTCCCATCTGGTTTTCCAGTAGTTCTCTAACTGATATCAGCTCATGATGAAGTCCTCCATCTAATATGGAATTAATTAACTCCAGTCTACTGGATTGACCTAAGTAGTAGTTAAGCTCACAGTCATTACTTATTTTGTCCATTAGGTTATCTCGTCTAATTGAGTCAGTCTACAGAGTTTGTCTTTGAATAATATTTTAGGTTTAAATGCCCACCCACCCCCCTAATTCCTGCTTAGTTAATAATTCTACATAGGATTGTATATATTTTCAAAAGAATGGACACGGAACAAAGAGTACTCTTTTCGATAAATTCATCATCAGGCTCTACAATTATGTATATACATTATAATGAATGAATGAATTAGTCTTATGAACGACATTAATGTTTAAATAACATCAAATCAATAATATTGATAAATTACAGCTGAACAGCATCAACATAAAATAAACCGAATGTCAGAAGAATTAGGAAAGGTAATAGTACAAATTCATGAATTTATAATCTCTACTGAGGGCCAGTCAGGGCAGTAATAGGGGCTGGACTTGTTTCTTTTGAACACAGAGCACTGGTTGTTTGAGGCAAATTGCAATAGTCTCTGCTGTTTGGAGCATGGGGTGCTTGGACGATTTTGGTAGTTTGTCAGGCACCCGGTATATTATGGAGAAGGATTCGTCTACGCTGGCTTTGTGACCAGTTTGCACCAGATGGTCTAATATCGAGCTGTTAATAGTTTTCACGACACCTTTACTTAGCCATAGTGGGATATGTTCTCGAGCACGAAAAATCAAGTTCATAGAGCAACGACCAATATAACTCGCTCCACAAGCGCAGTTGAATTGATAAATACAATTTGAAGTGGCCAGTCTAGGTACTTCATCTTTCAGTCGAGGTAGCACCATCGGTCGTGTAGAGAATAATACGTGTAGTTCGCCAGCATTAAAAGTTCTTTGATTGTATATATGTCCTTTCCTCCTATGATAATACTATGGATAATCTTTCTTATTTATGTTGCAGTCAATAGTTGGACAAATATTTACATCAATAGAGTATCGGTTTCTTCAGAGTTTTCCATGCCCATACTTCGTGCTGAGGTGTGTCAATAAGCACAGAAACTAAGTTTAAGATCGAGGAGTAGTCATTCGTTTTATTGTTAGTTCATTCCCAGGGCATGCCTACACGAGCCTTGGTATTTTTGGTTTAATTGTCAGTGAACTCACAATCTAACCGCTTAGAATATTACAGAACACTAACTAATCAATAAGAGGATATAAGTACTCATATTAAGTTTGATTGGTTTTAAGATTCATTTCGTTAAAAATCCATTTTAGTTTGGAAACTAGTGAAAATCAGAGAGCAGTTGGCAGGTTGTTTTGTTCTAGTTTGGTACTCTTCATCACTTGAATTTAGATATGCGATAAAACGAGTGTAAATACTAAGTAGTTCACATTCAATACTTGTCACTGTCAGTTTATGTTTTTATTCCTTTACGTTCCCAGTGGAACATAGGCAGGGCTTCAAGCTAGATCTTTGAAATGTCGGTGGCATTGGTATTCATTTTTACGGGATGCGGTATGATAGCCATATGCCCAATCTTCCCTCTTTACCAATTTTATTACTGGCTTAGCGAGGTAAACGGGGTGGTTCGGTGGCTGAGGATCGAACCCCGAACCACACGAGGCGTGGTTGGCGAGCATTCTACGACTGGGCCACCGATGTACCTTAACTTATTACTTTTTAATAATTTTACTCTGTTTCATTCTATTGTATTACTATATATACGGTGTATAATGTTAGCTTAGATTTCCTGAAAATTACTTAAACGAAGTCGAGTTAAGCTTCTATTTTCTGACAATCTAACTGATCTCCATCTGCAGTGTCACTTATGTATTTGACCTCAAAGTCATTTCAAGCCAATTTAGCGAAAAAATTCATTCACACATCTAGAAGAAACAAAACAAAAAAAACTGAACAAAGAATATCCTTTTCGAGAATTTCCTCTTCCAGATCTACAGTTATATATGTTTGTATACATAGAATATTCTAGAATAGTCGTCAATAACAATATTGGTGTTTTTTGAATATTATCGATTCGTCAAGTAAGATCAATGGAATTACAGTACGCCAAAGATGCATAAATTATAACAGGCATAAAAACACAATAGCAAATAGAATTTCAACTAAAATGAAGGAAATTTCTACAACAAACTGAGGATCATTA